TATTTTCCGACATGTCCCCGACATGACCTCAAAAACGCCATACGCATTAAATTCAACAATTTCGTGGCGACTAGGCTCCGAATCCGCAATATCAGCCACCATGTCCGACATGGCGGTCGATATTTAAAACACTAGTGTTCATCCTTGAACAGTAATTTTTCTTTTTTTATAAAAAAGGTTTGTGGTTAAGATCGGATGGTTACGATTAAAAGTGGAGAAACTTTAGATACAACTAGGCCTCACAGCTGGGGGCTTCACACCCTAAACGAAAGGCAAATCACATGCCAAAAAACACTTCACATGTTCACAAGAGAATTCTCTAACTCAATTTTTTTATTCATCAAAGTCTATTCCTCATGGAGGATTACATCTATTATTTATAGAGGGAAAAAAACTAAACATGGAAAGGAAATCCAAACCTAATCAAATCCTAATAAAAAAGAAACAAGTCTAACAAAATAAGTCTCAGAGATCCTAAAAATACTAAATCAAATCTTAAGGGGATCTTTACCTAAAATTAGAGATTACATCGAATATTACTAAAAGAACAAAGATTCCACTAAATATATAAAATTCATGATCAACAACTGATGATTGTCCTGCATCAGTAACATTGCACTCAATAACAGTCCCTGAATTGTAATGTAAATGTATGGTTTAAGTGACGAATTGCACGTTACATTACAGGGACTAATAACCTTTGCACACCAAGAACCACCAAGAAGCAGAAGCAAGTTACTTTGATAAATTTTTGATAGCTCAAAAAAATTAGTTTGAAAAAATAAACAATGGCTATATATGTACCTTCATATCTATCTTTATAGTGGTCTTTCATTTAACTCACATCCTAACTTATGAATGGTTTCTAATTGAAAGGAGGAAGAAAGGGAGGAGAAGGGTTATATTCTACAACACAAGGGCATCTTTCTCTAATGTTTATCACATGCACAACACATGGTACACCCTAACAGAAAATTTAATGTTTTCTAGCCAGAGGTATCAAATTAAAGCGGTTTTTAAACTTCAGGATATTAAAGTGGTAAAAAAATACAGTATGGTATCATAATGATGAAATGAGTAAACTTTATGGTATTAAAGAGGAAATAAGCTATTTTACATTGACTTAAAAGCATTGGAATTTAAAAAGCAATACCATTTTTGGAAGTCCAAGACTGCACCATGGTGTCGAGAAAATGTTTGCATATCTACCCAAAGATAACTGCCCCCTTGTTATTCCTGCATAAGTTATGCTAAGGAAAGAACAAATGTTTAATTTATATATTAAATATGATTATGAGAAAACACACTATTTAAGGAATAAAAATCAAATACCTTCTTGGAATGTCGTTAAAGTCCCCACAAAGAACTAGGCCATCATGTTCAGAGAACTTGCCAAATCTTTGCAATTGTTGAAGCTCCTCGGAGAGAACACATATCTAATGAGAAATAAGAGAAAACTTACTGGTATAAGAACTCTTGTATATAAGAGAATTTTGAGGATAAATCTTTGCGGTGAATCCCTTTATTGTTTGCAGTGTATAGACCTTGTTGCACCACTGGTGAGAAAATTTCTGGTCTTGTGAGATTCTGTTGACTAACTTCATGTTTTATTAGATTCTTGAAGGGACTGTGATTTTAAGAGATTGCTACTGTTACAGTCCCTGATATAAGGAAGCTATGGGTATGGACCAGACGGATTATGGTAGTATCTTGGTTGTCATCAGTATCAGTGATAGACAAAAAGCTTGTTTATCCATTTGTATCTTAAACAATTGGTTGCACTTGTTATTAAAAAATGGGTTACAATCTTTCCATTTCCTTTATCATTTTTTCTGACTTTGTTTACAGGGATAATTATAAGCTGTTAAAATGTGGTGCCTTTAGTTACTCATAGATATCGTGTGAGGCATTTGTATGCTAACTTTCATCTGCAGTTCTTGGAATTGCTGCTTGAGGAGATTGCTATGGAGGGCTGCTAAATCTTATAAAATGTATGATTTTAATCTGGTAATGAAATGGCTTAAAAAAGAGAACGAAAGGGCATGGAAGTGGCTAGATGCTATTGACAAAAAAATGTTGGGCAAGATCCCATTTTAAGGTTTATGTTCCATGTGATTTACTTTGTAACAATATTTGTGTAGCTTCCAATGGATATATTATGGAGGCAAGAGATAAACCAATTGTTACAATGTTGGAGATAATAAGAAGGCTTGCATTGCAGTGAGGAGACACCAACAAAGAAAGAAGCTGGCAGTAAGTGGAGTGGAACTATTTGCTCTAAGGTAGTATCAAGGCTACAAGAAGTTGGAAAAAAAATCAAGAGAATGCTATGTAAGTTTCTATAGTGGAGAAGGGAAGTAGGAAGTTAAAGTGTCTGGGAGGCAAAGTGACTATTAACATCGCAAATAGGTCTGTGATTGTAGGGTGTGGCAATTAACTGGTATTCCTTGCATACATGCTGTACCGTGTCATAGAGAAGCAAGAGTTTGACATCGAAAGTGTGGTATCTGATTGCTATTATGTCACAAAATAATTGAAAGCTTATGAATTATGCCAGTACCTGAGACAAGTACTTCTTCTTCTTACATAAAAGGAAAACAACAAATAAGAAAGAAAAGAAATGCAGAAGTTGATGTTTTTTCAGCATTAAGTGAAATAGAATGTTTTGTTTCTCATATGCAGAACATCCATCAGGGAGAATTTCTGGTTTCTCATATGCAAGACAACCTTCAAGACCCATTTTCTCGGTTAACCTAGAAGCACATTGAAAGAGAACTAATATCACACTTTACAATGGGTCCATGTGTGGAAGTTGACAATGGGTCCATGTCTGGAGAGCCATATAATACTAAGAATTGTTTGCAATATTTCTGATATTTGAGACTCATCGACATTCCATAGCTGTGACTAAACAAAAGGGTTATACAACCATCAAAACATATAATTTATAATATATTTCTTTAAAATATAAAGTATTGAAAAAACTACATCAAAATATAAATTTCTCAAGAACTAAAATACATGATAAAATAAAACGTTGGTACTAGTTTGGAGGCTTGATTAGTGAGTTATCATCGCGTAACCTTGATTTCCTCCTCTAATAATTGCGGATAGTGACGAACTAAATCCAGTTATATATTAAGTATTATCCTTTGTCGAACATTTAAGAGGGTAACCTATGAAAATAAAACTTTTGAGAGACTAAAATAACAAAATTAAATTGTTGAAAAAAAAAATTAAAAGTAAAAGAAACTCTCACCGAAATATATATATTCCAAAGCCTCCCAATCCAGTATGGTAACATTATGAGGTTCTGTTACCGGTGTCTTCGTCCTCTCCGTCGTCATCGTACATCGTCGCCGGTGATATTGTCGATTCGATCGCCGCCGTGGACAACCTCAACTCTACTTCTCGCTCTCCGAAGTCTTTCTGCGTGATCAAGTTCCTACACTGGCCGTTGGTTTTATAGAGAAACAACGGGGTGGAATCGAATCGGATTTGAACAAATAGTGCAAGGTTCAAATTCGAGTTCGGTTTTTATGGTGCTATTCGTGTTCGTATTCGAATTCGTCGGAGAGGGAAGAGGGCGTCGTCGCGGGGAGGGAGGACAGCGTCGGCGGGGAGGGAGAAGCGAAGGTCCTCGGAGAGGGAAGAAAGAGTCGTCGTGGGGAAGGGAGGAGGGCGTCGTCGCGGGAAGGGAGGACGGCGTCGTCGTGGGGAGGGAGGACGGCGTCGTCAGCGGGGAGAGAGAAATTGGTATTTGGTTGGAGGCGGAAAGTGGGAACTCAGTGACTGTGAAAACCCTAGTCCCTTAACATGTCTATTTATATAGGGGGAGAAGTTGTAATAAAAATTTTAATGGATAATATTTGCAACAAGTTTAATTAATAGGATTAACATATAAAAAGTTATCGAATAGTTAATGATCAGCCGAATCAAATATACTTTTAGTTAAATTCTATTTATTTATAAGCTGAATGCTAAAAAATATTCATTTAGTATTAAATAAACTACCAGATCGAATATGATCGAATATCTAAACGAATATTAACCGAATTGTTTATTAAATATTTGGTTTCGCTTCCACCCCTAGAAACAAGCACTTCATTTTCTTTCCTACCCTATAATAAAGCCTACTACCTACCCTCTTCACGTGATACATCTCATCCACATGTGACTCTATTGTTAACTTCCTTTTTCATTTTGAGGATTTTTTTTTTCAAAACAACAAAATATCAAGAATTTAATCATAGGATTATTAGCCCTTTGACACTCCTTAGTTAACACCATTTTTAATTTCGATACTTAGAGTTTCCCCAAACATTTTATATCCAATGTTTATAGCTTTTTTGAATTTTTGATATCCTAAAGTTTTTATTTTTGACACTTTAATACCTGATTTAGGGTATCAAAATTTAAAAATGTGTAAGCTCTGTGTTATCAAAGTTTAAAATTGTGTAAAATTTAGAGTATCAAAGTGGCGAAAAAGACATTAGGGTATCAAAGTAAGCAACAATGTAAATTAACATTAGGATATCAAAGTTAAAAAGTATAAACTTAGGGTACCAAAGTGCAAATGTTCTTTAGTTATATAGACAACTATGTTTCTCAATTATATTTACGAAAAGTAGCAATAGTAGTAGTATAAGGTTTTTTCCGTAGTGATCCGTTTAATCTTTAATATTTTGAAATTTCTCCTTCAAATCATTTTTGAATTCAGTGCTCTACGTGTTTCTGTAAGTAAATGCAGCTAAATATCTTTCTCTTATTAGATCATACTAAAGAAACTAGATTGTGTTGGATTCAATGGAGAAAAGAATTAAGTTTCAAGTGTTTTGTTAAAGATTGTAAATGTCTTAATTTCAAACACTTGTCAAATTGGTTTCGTGTGCTTTCTCTACCAAATATTGCAGAGATGGATTAAGGATAAAATATGCTGCTATAATTAACAAAATTAAATAACAACATTATCTTTTTACGAAGGCAATTATGACTTGAATGGCATATGCTCGCAACAACATGAGAAGAACAAATATACCAAGAGATAAGAACCTGAAGCATGATAAATTGGTGTCAGTCCTTATTTTTATTTTTAGAATGATGTCCTTCCTTTTTGTCTATAATTAACAGATGAGGGTTGATTCCTATTCTTATTGGAAGAAGCCAAGATGTCGTTATCAAATGCATCCAGAAAAATCAATCGATCAATACATACACAGATTGCAGATATATAGAAACATGAGCCATTCCTTAAGTTTAACTCGGTAAGATATATAATTGCTTGAGAAAATATCGCAATGGTATATATAATTTATGGTCTTTTTATAATTTCTTTTATTTTCTTTTTCTGTTTTCCCCTTAAAGCAGACTATTTTTCTGTTTCCTCAGTCTGAGGAGTTTCTAATGAGAAAATCCCAAACATTGGTGACAATGTGTTGCTGTACTTTTCATTTTTGGTTTTCGGATATTTTGTATGTGACATCTTGTGAGCGTGTTTGAAAATTATGCTAACAATTTGGGTACTTCCAATAAGAAACTGTTACTAAACATAAAACAGTAACGATACATAAGAGAATATCGTGCAATCCAAAAGATTACATACATGTAGGAATCATGTTGTAAGCTTTTTCACCTAAAAGGTAAGAGAACTGATGGTACAAATCAACAACCATATAACAGACATCTTAGACGTTCATATTTCACTTAATTAATGCATCGAGAGCATCTAGAAAAGAGGCTACATAAAAGAAGCAATGATATAACATGTAATAAGGACTCTACTACAAATATTGATGTTTCTAATTCATGAATCCTTTCATACATTTTTGACACAAAAGGAACCATTTCATATCATACTTGTCAAAGCTCTTACACTCACTAATATTGAAATGGAAGATCGTATTTTGACATAGTAAACAATCATATAATTCTGTATGGCGTAAAATTTGGTTCTCAATGGAGATTTGTATTAATTGAATGGTAATTACAAATCAAGAATCAAAAATTACAACAGAAGCAAAGAGAATGCTCTTCTTGTTTAACATGGGTTCTTTGGTAGCGATAGGACGCCTCCCTCGATGCTCGTGTCGAGTTTGCTTCCCTTGGACGATCCGATCGAAATTACGGTTGAGCTTCAGTACGCAGTAGAAACTCGTATGATTGAATTCGGTTAAAGCTTGATGAGTATCAAGGCCGAATGCTTAGAGAAGCCTAATATGCAAGAGTTTGCAAAGAGCCAAGAGTCTCAAATCTGAGAGTTTAGATTGAGTCCACTTCAACAATCCAAGCTTTTTCTTAAGAATATCCAGTCAAGCTCTCAAGATGCCTAGCCAATCAAGCCCACCAAGCCCCCTTCATGTTGCCAAAGGTGGCTTATAAATAGGCAGGGAAAGGCATGGCTCATCCCTTGACTTGTGGGATGTGACCGCTCACAGGTGAGGAGCACCATACCTTCCTCTATAGCTATGAGATGTGACCACTTAGGGGTGATGAGAGCCATGCTCCATCACTTAGAACGCGGGACGTGGGCTTGCCCACTCCTACAAGCAAGCAACTGCTTGCACCGTTCAGGCGAGGCTGGCGGGCTTGCAGGCGAGCTCGAGTACTATCTGAATGCTTAGGCGAGCTTGTAGGGGAACTTAGCGAACATGCGGGGTCGACTGGCGGACCCCTCAAGCGTTAGGCGAGCTTGAGTCTATAAGCGAGCTTGGTTCATACGGATGAACTCCCTACAGTCGAGCCTGACTCGTGCGGGCGAGCAAAGCATTTCGGTGAGCTTGACTCATGCTGGCGAGTCAATCAATTAGGCGAGCTTGGTTCGTGCAGGCAAATCAAGCAAGCAGGTGAGCTTGACTCGTGATGTCGAGTCAAACAAACAGGTGAACTCGACTCGTGCGGGCTAGTCGAACAATCAGGTGAGCTTGACTCGTGCTGGCGAGTCAAGCCATGTTGGTGAACTTTGACTCGTACAGGCGAGCAAAGCGTGTTGGCGAGTTAAGCTTGCATGCGAGCTCTGCTTAGCCTCTTGAATGCAGGCGAGCTTGGCTTATGTTGGCAAGTCAAGTTTGCAGGTGAGATCTGCTTGGCCTCTTGAATGCAGGCGAGCTAGCTTGCTTTTGCAATCTTGAGCACACAAGTGAGCTCAATACATGGGCAGGCGGGGTCAATCAGGCGAGGTTTGACCTCCTTAATTAAAGGTAATTTTTATTGCCTACAAAACCCCCTTTAAAGTTTTCAGACCTAAATCAGGTTGAATGTGGTCTGGAACACTTTGAATGAAGAGGATCACTGTTCATTGGTCTGGGTGAATTTGAACCCTTTGGTTGAGTTGAGCTCTTTAGGCGAGGTCCATGAAGTGCAAACGAGCTCAAGCAACAGGGGAGCTCGAGCCTACAGGCAAGCTAGATGATTGTAGGCGAGCTCTAGATGTCGGTAGGCGAGCTTTGCACTTGCAGGCGAGCTTGATGATTGTAGGCGAGGTCCGAGCTGGTGATAGGCGAGCCACGTGTCCGTGGGCGGGCTCTTGCGCTCGCCAGCTAAGGCGTGGGCACGTCAGATCATCTTCACATGCTTGATCTGATCCGTGGAATTGGCGGCACTCTTGATCTCAATCGTCGATTCGACGAGAGATCGTGGTCATTCGGTTGAACTATTTCATCTTGGTCGTTGGTTCGAATACGAACCGCCTCGTCATGCAAGCCATTCGATCTGAGACTCGATCTCATCCGTTCAATTTGAACTGTCGAATCTGAACCGTCATAGGTGATCTGAGCCGTTGGCTTTGGTTGAGACGATGAATCTCAACCGTTGAAGCCTCGCCTATATTAAGCCTTCATCTCCCTCCTTGGGAGATTACTGTGCTTTTGAAAATTGCTCAAGCCTTCAAAGGAAACTCGAACCCTCTTCCTCATTTCTTCTCGAGCTCAAAAATGGCCCCCAAGAAGAATGCTTCCAAGGGGAAGAGGATTGCTTCCT